GCCGGCTAATTTTATTGTTCTTTTTGCGAACGTCTTTCTTCCTCTCCCCGCGCCCCGCCCGCGCCCGCGTTCCCGCGCCCTCCCACGCGCGTACGGACCTGGGCGCGCATGCCTTACCTTTCCAGCCCCCATCCCCCGCGGACCCCTGGGGACCCGCGAAAGGGTTTCTCGGCCGCGTTGCGAGCAGGAGCGCTGCCCGGCCGCAGGCGAAAGGGCTTAGCTCGAGAAGCCGCCCCCACACCCCCGCGGCCAGCCGAACTCGCTTCTCGGGTCAGAAACCTAAGTGTCCAGATGGCCTTCGCGGAGCGGAAAGGAACTTTCCTAGTGGGCTTTTTTTCCGGGAATGGACTAGACGCCATTAAGGAGACGTTTTTCAGTGGCCTCTCCGGACTCTGGGGCGGTGGCAGGTGACCTCCCGGGGGAGAAACCCGGAGCGCGTAAAAGGCGAGCCCCGCGCACTGCCTGCGCCTCGACGGAGCCTGTGCGCTTTCAGGAAGCGCGGCCGGCGCCGCACGCGCCCTGCCCGCGGACCCCCACAGCGACTGGGGAGAATTTAAAAGGAGACATTCTGTCTTCATAATTAGGGGGATAGTTTCCACTTAGTTTGTAAAAGTCTGCGATGCTCCACATTTTTCCGCCGACACCCAAAAGGCTTTCTTCCCATCCGTATCAGAAGTTGGCTGAACCAGAAAGGGGGTGAACAGTTGGGTCGCACTCGTATTTGTTGATCTTGACCATCCCTTTAACTTTATCGCATTTCTTTAAAGAAAATCTGTCTTGCCCTCTCTTTATTGCTACTTCATCCTTCTTTCAAGATCAAAAGCTTTAGATCAAAGCCAAGATCAAACTCACTACTTTAAATAGAAGCAACTTTGCCACGGAGTATTTTACACAAAGAGGAGCTTCTTAATGGAGACATCAGAGTGGAAAACTTTATTTTATCCCTTCATCCTATATTCATAACTGGACTACTTAAAATTACATTGATGATGCACTTACATGTCCTAAAATAAACAACAGGTCTGCTCAAATGGGGGATTCTTGACTTAAGTGTTTGTGTTTCCATGAATACCAAAATAAATAAATAAATAAATATAACTCTAGTTAGATAAGCATATTTGCCATTTTGTATCATTATTAGCTAAGTACTATGAAATGCATGCTCATTTGCTAAAGATTTTTCGAAGTGGTATCGAATCTCCTTATATATAATGTACAACTATCATATACAATTTTTCCACTGCAAAATAAATGTATAAAAATAGTTAATGCCTTGCACATCTCCAGTGCACGTACAGAGGCAGGTAAAAGTTACAAATGATGAACTGGATTATGTAATTGCAGAGCTGCTTACTTTCAAATGGAAATAAGACCTCTAACTATTTGAGCTTCCACGCTACTAATAACAGTTCCAGAATCAATAGAAATCTATCACTGGTAGACACTTCCCTTCACCCACTAGAATTTTTTTCCTTGGGAATTTACCACCCCTAAGAACTCTGAATTTACCACCCCTAAAAACCTTTCATTACTGATGTACTAAAACAGCACCCCAAATAGACCTTCCTTAAGTATCCTTTTTGTTGACTGATCAACAATTTTTTTAACATGTAGCCTTAAAAGAAACAAAAAATAAAATAAATTCCAACAATCCAGTAGTGGGAATAGAAAACTATTGAAAATTAAATCATATATAGACTTCTATGAAAATCTGTTATTACAGATGGATAGTTAGTACTTGAAGGCTTGTTTTCCATTGTTATTCTCATCTGACTGTAGTCTCAAATACACACACACACAATTGTTCCTCATGCTAAAAATCCCATTAAGTCACTAGAAAGATCTTAGGAATTGAGACCTGGGAACCCTGTCTTGCTGCCAGTGACAGTCTCCTTTCTTCCTAGTCTGCAGCTCATGGAGAACCTAATGGTTTCTGGCATAAGCTGAGCAAAGGAAAGAATCCTACTGTCACTGCTCCTCTGAGTAGGTAATTAAAGCTATGGTCCACTCTTAAGTTCCTCCTAACTCCTTTCCTTTGTACTCTTACACCCTCACACCCACTACCACAATCCATCCTACACCAAGAAGCCAGAATAATATTTTGAAAGGTAGTTCAAATGATACCACTTTGCTTTACCAAGAATGCACTTCTTTCTCTTCTCTGCCTGGCTGGCTCCTACTTATTCTCTAGTTTTGGCCTTAACTCTAGAAAGGTCCTTCCTTACTCCCCACTCCAAATTATGTCACCCCCACTATTCCTTCTAATAGCATCCTGTTTTTTTTTTAAATTGCTTATCTTTTAGAGCTATTAAAAATTATTTTTAATTAAGACTTTTTTAGAGCAGATAACAGAAAAATTTATGCAAAACGCACAGAGTTCCCATATGCCAACATAACACACAGTTTCCTCTATTACTAATATCTTCTATTAGGGTGGTGTGTTTGTTACAATTCAGGAACCAATATTTGATACATCATTATTAAATAAAGCTCATGGTTTACAGTAGGGTTCACTATGTGTTGTACAGTTCTATTGCAGCTTTTTTTTAATTATTATTAATTTGTTGAATGTCTATCTTCCCAGCTGGACTTTAAACTCCAGGAAGAAAGAGATCCTGTCTCTTTTGTTCTTGATTTTGGTCCAGTCAGTTAAAATACCGCTGGCACATAGTAGATGCTAAATAAATACGTTAAGTAAGCAAATGGAAGATATAGGAACAAATGACTGAATGAACAGCATATGAAATTTCAAGGGGGAGAGTCTCAAGATAAAGATCTTTCTAATTAACTCCTGTTTCTCCACTAAAATACCTTATTTTGTAAAAAGCACAAAATTGTGCATTTTTTTTTTTTAAAGAAAGAGACCATGGGACATCAGTTACATCGCGAGGTGCTTCTAAAATGGCCTTTAAAAAAAATAAAAATAAAAATAGAAATGAGAAATAAAGATTCTTAATTCCCTCTTCTATTAATCACGAAAACTGTATTTCAAAAATTCAGTGCTAGGAGCTGAATTTGATCTAGAATGAAATAGTAACATATTTTAAAATTATTGGAAAAAAATATTTTTTAAAGATTTTATTTATTTGAGAGAGAGATTGAAAGAGCACACAAGCAGGGGGAGCAGCAGAGGGAGAGAGAGGAGCAGGCTCCCCGCTGAGCAAGGAGCCCGATGCGAGGCTGGATCCTAGGAGCCAGGCTCATGACCTGAGCTTAAGGCAGACACTTAACTGACTGAGCCACCCAGGCGCCCCATTTTATTGGAAAAATATTAATTCTTTTTTACTGTGTTCAATATAACCTCAACACATTTCTCCTTTTGCCTATCTAAATCTCCCTTTCTTCATGCGCTGACCCCAATAAAGGTAGGGTGTGGAAAAACTGGAGGAAGAGTACTTTTTAAAAATTGGAATTCTGGGGACGCCTGGATGGCTCAGTCAGTTAAACGTCTCACTCTTTTTTTTTTTTAAGATTTTTATTTATTTATTTGAGAGAGAATGAGAGACAGAGAGCACGAGAGGGAAGAGGGTCAGAGGAAGAAGCAGACTCCCTGCCGAGCAGGAAGCCCGATGCGGGACTCGATCCAGGGACTCCAGGATCATGACCTGAGCCGAAGGCAGTCGCTTAACCAACTGAGCCACCCAGGCGCCCCAAACGTCTCACTCTTGATTTAGGCTCAGGTCATGACCTCAGGGTCATGAGATCCAACCTCTGCCCCCACCCCACTGGGCTCTGTGCTGGGTGTGGAGCCTGCTTGAGATTCTCAAACTCTTCCTCTCCCACTGCCCCTCCCACCCTTCCCTGCATGCACGCGCACTTTCTCCGTCCCGCTCTCTTTAAAAAAATAATAAATAAAAAAATAAAATTGGAATTCTGTAGACAGGGATGGATACTCTAATAACTATCTTTAAGAAAGTGGTGAAAGCACTTTAAAGCTATCTTTTAAAAACAGATGTTTTCTATTTGAAGTATGTTTTAAAAAATGTTTCGTCTAGTAGAGATGCAAGTTTTGAAAGGAAGTTGTTTTAAAAGACTTTCTTGTCAATGCAGTTTGTAATAGCTGAAGACAATTTCAGAGGCTAAGGAAAATGCCATTGCTTTAGAATAAAAGCGTTACTTTATCTAGTGGCTGGAGATTACTTTTAGAGAGAAAATCCCTCCTCCTCCTCCTCCTTCTCCCCCTCCTCCTCCGGAAATGACTCCTTTCATTGGAATATGGTAGCAATATCAGTTTCATATTGTTAATATGGATGTGTGCTTCTTCTTCATGATGAGCTACAATCCAGAGGAATGAGAAGCAGCAGCAGGCCTTCCTAGTCACCTAGAAGGCCGAAAGGGCGGACAAGGGGAGCCCTTTAATTAGTCCAAACAGCCTCAGATGGCAAAGTACACTCACTTGGGCTCAGGAGAGGCAAAACTATCCGCTATAAGAAGTCAAAAGATCTTTTAATACCAAACAATGTAGAGAGGTTTCAGAAGAGCTCTATAGCCAACATACATTGAGTGTAAATTAAAAAGTACACACCTACACAAAACTGGAAATGAAAAATCAAGATTAGTTTAAGCTGCAAATAATAACAAGGAAGTAATCCTGATTAGGGTCAAAGTTCTCAAATGTCTAGGTCTTTAAATTTTGCTCTACCCTTTTAGAAT